GGCATGATTAGGGGTGTATGGACTTTTGTGCTATATGTTGAACCCTGGATTGCTGTATGATATTATTGACTTGCCCTAATCGATATGAACCTTGTTTATGCTGATGATTGTGTATATGTTGCAAATTGTGGGCTTGACTGTTAATATGCTTTACGATGGTTCGAGAAGGTGATTAGGTATGATTTTTCATGATTGTTGTATTTGGATGCACAAGTGGGAAAATATATATTCCCTAGTGATATTATGATGTTTAAGAAGGATGACTTGCACGAGGGTTTATCCCGAGGAAGTGCAATTATACGACTCCTGATTTACCTATGTTGAGCCAATTATGGCCAGGTCAAGTACATGTGCAAGTAATGAATTATGATTAAGCAAGATGAGGTATGAATCATGTATAAGGATACAAAATATGATTGTTGTGGTCTCACGGTCAACTACATAGTAATTAGGGCTCCCTATGCTATTACTCTATTATGATATGTATGATAGTCACACCTCTCATGTGGTGGTGACTGAAGAATTCTTATGAGATATGACCACACCCAGAGCGGTGTCGGGGTATGACTACACCCATAGTGGTGTGGGGTATGTATGACCACATCCGACGGGATGTTGGGGTATGTATGACTACATCCGAGGGGATGTGAGGTATGTTTCCCGGGAGAGTTATTAGCATGGAAGTAGCCAGGCGCCTATGAGTAAAACAGGATAAGATGCATATGCATAAGTCAAGGTGGTTGAGTCTTTTGCCTATTGGGATGTCGGAGGGCTAAGATCTGATCCCAGTGCTTTGGCTTGTTGCTAGATGTATGGTAGGGGTATACTCTGTTATGAACTCACGATGCTATGATTATCTCACTCAGCTATGAGCTGACCCTATTTATCCTTTTTCTCTGCTAATGCCATGTGTAAGCAGATCATCATCAGCAGCAGCAGTAGATAGGTGTATAGGTGGGAGCTGAGCAAGAGTTGAAGGCAAGATGAGGTATGGTCTTCAACCATTCTCTGTTTGGACTACTACTGGGGATTTTGGCCAGTGATCCACACCTTTTTGTAAAAAATGTTTTGAGAACGTTTTTCATGTGCATACTAGCTTCTGAGGTAGTGTGAGATATCCACAGGTGTGGAAATTTGATGATATGTGTATATTTTTGTAATTGTGTAAGTTGTGACGATTATGGCTTGTATTAGGATAGTATGGAGTTGTGTAGTATGAAACTGTGACTATGGCTATGAAAGCCCATGTATATGGTTGTGAGTATATATGTTTGTCATTGAATGCATGGATTGAGATAAATTATTTTGCAGGTTTTAGTTACAATAACTGTTAGCCCATTACGCGAGTATTTCATGTCGAAATTTTATTTTGGTAATTTTTGATAATTAATGTAACACCCGATATTATTTCCGCTGCAATTGTATGAACAATATGATTAGGTAATACGCATAAGGTAGGGTGTTACAATAGTATAATGAAGTTGTTAGACCCTGATGTTTCAGATCATTGTCCTATTTTGATCCAAACTCAGGAGCCACTTAAATCACTTCCCAAACCTTACAAGTTTTGGACATCTCTCCCTACATATGCTGATTTTCTATATAAGGCTTGGTCTACTAGAGTCACAGGGTCTCCTATTATCCAGTTTTGTAAGAAGCAGAGATTTTCAAGGGAATCTGGAAGAAGCTTAATAAAGAGGAGTTCTCTTATCTACAGGAAAGGGTTTGTAAAGCTCAAGGCAGTTTGTGGTTGATCCAGTGTGATGAAGTGGATAACCCTTCTCTTGAGTATTTTTTAGCTAAACAGGGTGTGTTGAAGGAGGTTATTGAACTGCGTAGAGATGTGGAGTCTTTTTAAGACAGAAATCTAGGGAGATATGGCTGTGTGGTGGTGAATCTAATTTAGGTTATTTTCATCTCTCAGTCAGGACTCGCCCAAAAAGAAACACTGTTAGTTCTCTTGAAGACAGTGAGGGGAGAATCGTAACTGAACTGGAGGGTATATGTGATATGGCGGTATGCTTCTATAAAAAGCTCATGGGTGAAGCTGATGGTTCAGTCAGGGATGGGTCAATTGAATTTTATGAAAAGCTGCTGAAGAGACGACTTCCTACTGAAATGGTTGATGATCTTTGTGCTCCTATAACGGGGGAAGAGGTTCGAAGGGTGGTTTTTGGTATGAAGGATGAGAAAGTACCTGGCCCGGACGGATTTTCTGATTTTTCTATCAGTCTACTTGGTCCGCAATTAGAGTAAACTTGATTGTTGTAATTCAATTTTGTTTCGACGAGTGTCGAATGCCAAGGGAGGTCAATGCCACTGCCCTAAATCTGGTCCTTAAAGTATCCAACCCTGTTCTCATGAAAGAATTCCTCCCAATATCCTGTTGCAATATCATCTATAAGTGTGTTTTTAAAATACTTGAAAATCGGTTGAGTGTTACTGTTCCTAGTCTTATAAGCCATAACCAGACTGCCTTTGTAAAGGGGAGGGTTATTGGGGATAATATTTTAATGGCTCATGTGTTGGTTTCTATGTATTCCCTTAAGCATATCTCCGCTCGTAGTACTTTGAAAATAGATCTGATGAAGGCCTTTGATTAAGTGGATAGGGAGTTCATTCTATGTGTTTTATCTACTATGGGATTTTCTAGTCTTTTCATTGAATGGATCTGGATGTGCATAACTACTCTTATGTTGAGTGTGGTTTTCAATGGTGGGTTGACTGGTTACTTCCCTGATGGAAAGGGATTCTGTCAAGGCGATCCAATCTCGCCTTATTTGTTCGTCGTATCTTTGGAAATTCTTACTTGCTTGTTAGATGAGGCTACTCGGATTGGCCATCTTCCCTACCATCCAATGTGAAAACAAGTGCAACTGACACATCTATGCTTTTAGGATGTTGTGTTTTTTTTCATGGATGGGTCCAATATGGGTTTGTAGTGTGTTCAATGAGTACTTGGGCGTTGTAAGCAACTTTTTGGATTGGGTTTTAACACTGGGAAGTGCGAGCTGTTTTGTGTCGGTCTCACTGTGGACTAAAAGAATATGATGGTGAAGAGGTTAGGGTTCAAACTGGATGTGTTTCCTGTGAGGTACCTGGGGGTTCCTCTGGTGGTGGGGAAGCTTTCTATTGCTGCTTGTCGTTCGTTTATTGAAAAGATAGTTGTTAGAATCAGAGGGTGGAAATCAAAATCGCTAAGTTATGCATGTCGAGTGAAGTTAGTAAATTCTATTCTGCTGAGCGTTACTTAGTATTGGATGGTTGTTTTCTTGCTGCCAAAGACAGTTCTTGCTGCGGTAGAGAGAATATGCAGTGACTTTCGATGTGGTATTGGAGTAAGGGGTAAGGTGAAGGCTAGTGTGGCGTGGAATCAGGTTACATTTCCCAAAAGGGAGGGAGGGCTTGGTATAGGGATTTGTGTTCTTGGAATTTAGCTTGTGTATCTCGGCATATCTGGTATATTCCATTGCATCATGGCTCGTTGTGCATTGTCTAGCTTCTGAATTTTAAGCTTAATGGCGATCTTTTTGGCAATACCATACTTCCTCTGGATCCTGCTGCTGGAAACGACTATTGAAGATACGTACTAAGGTTCAACAGTATTTCTCTATAAGGACAGGAAATGACTAAGTTCTCTGTGAAGAAAGTGTGGAATTCATTACGTCGAACAATTCCTTCCCCAACCCGGGTTAATGTTGTGTGGAAAGGAGTTGGTATTCGTCGTAACAGGTTCCTCGTTTGGTTGATTGCCAAAGAAAGAGTAAGTACAAGGGCAAATATGGTGGCATGAGGCTATTCAGGTGACCTCAATTGTGTGTTTTGTGATCAAGCAGTGGAGACAATTGATCATGTCTTTGCGGCCTGTGGAATGGGAGCTTGTGCTTGCTGTTACTTGGTAAAGTTTTCCTGCGAGATCCCTGTTGTACTTGGAGCCAGGAGTTGGAGTGGGCAATTACAGAGTTTGCGGGTATTTCACCTCTGAAAGATGCAGGTAAGCTTATATGGTGTTCTCTTCTGAGTAATCTCTGGAGGGAACGTTGTAGGTGGATTTATACGGGTGAAAAGATGGATGTTGAGGTGTTGAGCAGGGTGATAAGGAATGAAGTGAGTGTGTTGATTGAAGACCATGTTAGAGGCAGGTTTTGGTAGTTTTGTTAGAGACAGGTTTTTGTTGCTTTGTTTAGCCCGTGGTTTCATAGTAGTTATTAACAATATGTATAATTCCTAGTTAGCAAGGGTTGTCAATAATCCTTTTTTATGATATAACAAACCGATTAATAAAAAAAAATTATATATATATTTTCAACATTTCATTGTATTTTCCATTTGGTTTTAAGGAAAAGTGGTAATAGAATAAGGAGAATTGACATATGTGTAGCATTAATAACGAGAGAAGAATGTTATGAGCCTTACACAATCATATCGTTGGACAGAGCATTCCATAGAGTTTTGTGTTCATAACGTGTTATGAAAATGATAGGAAAGAGTAACAAATATAAGAGCGGGTAGATAAAAAAGACTCAAAGACACAGGAGAAGAATTTGGAAAAAGTGTTCTTCTTATTAATCATATTTTTTTGGACACTGAGATATACTAATTGTATAGACAAATAAATATAACTTTTAAAATTTATTTTATAATGCACATGAATATGAGGTAATGAGACATGCATGAAAATAATACTTTCTCATCGTCAATATAGAAACAGGTAAATAACTTCTAGGGTTATAGGTATAATATGCTCCTCTATTATGCAATTTTATCAAACATGCCCCTCTACTATTTTTTACATCAAACATGCCCCTATACTTTGGAAAAATTATCAAACATGCCCTTATGTAAAAATTTCCATTAAAATATGGTCAACCACAGTTGAACCGAGATTCACACGACCCGACATCGGAAAAATTACGGTTGAAATGTCAGTTTTTCTTCCTCATTTATTTCTTCAGGTCTAGTTAAAGTGAAATTATTCGAAGTATTTGGCTAAACAAAACAATTATAAAGTGAAATTATTAGGAATATTTTAGACATAGGTGTCACCCAAACCAAGGTTCGACCATGATTGATGGTTTTTGGATGACAATTTTAACAAAAAGGCATGTTTGACCATTTTTACAAAGTATAAGGGCATGTTTGATGTAAAAAATAGTAGAGGGCATGTTTGATAAAACTACATAGTAGAGGGACATATTATACTTATAACCCAGAATGAAATGAATATCAACAATAATCAATTATTTCATAACAATATTCACATCTTTTACCAATTTTCTTTTCCCCCCATGGGCCATGAATATTAGCCATATATCGACGGCGACGCACAATCACCGTAATGTCTCAAAGTTTAGCCGTTCTGTTTTTCATCCCGCAATCACAAATCCCAATTCCGATACGCCCGTCGCATACGAACCACTTCGACGAAATCCGTATCCCGCCAAAACCGCCCCCACAGCCACCACTACGGCAACAACAACCGTAACCACAACTACAACATTCGTCACCCGCCCAACACCTCTCAACTTCATCGGCGCCATCAAATCCTTACCGACAACCCTCTGCGTCCCACCTTCGGATTCTTGATCATCGAAAACTCGTGTGCTCTGTTCCTCATGATAATGATGCTCTGTTCCCGTCACCGGCTGGTACTCGTGATGCTCATGGCCAGCGTCAGGGGACGATGATGGCGGCGGCTGCGGAAGTACCGCCGGCCTCTTGGGCAGGACAACTGAGAGGATGCCGGTGGAAAGCTTGGCGTGAATCTCGTTGGTCTTGATGTCGTTGGTGGGGAGGCGTGTCTCTTTGCTGAAACGCGCCCATCGATTGTGCTGGCAGTCCAGACACCGCTCCCCTGTTATTGTCATCACTCCCATGTTGTTCGTCTGAATTTTCAGCTGCTGCCTCTTGAACCCTGTTTTGTTTGTCAACGATTATATATAGTTTGGTTGGGTCAATCTTAATTTCTGAGACACAAGTCGTTCAATTCGGAGATTTACAGATAAGTTACCCTGAAGATGGACGAGGAGGACGTCTTGATCTGGGCTTCTTTCCCACCTGCAGAAGGGCTCGAAATCCTCGTAGGAACGCTTGGTAACACCCGGCCTAGCCATGTTGATGACGATTACTGAATCAATCTCTAATGAATACAATTGTGTTTATATATGTAGATGGATGAGATTTTAGATGTTCTTATTTCGGTGTTGTGGGCTGTAGGCTGGCTAATTGATTAATTGGTTGGTTTTGGGGGTTACCTCCTGGAATATAATGATTCTTTGCTGAAGATGAACAAATTTTGGGGCTTTGGGTTTTCCATCTAAGAAAGCTCTTGAGGTTTGGATGACGAAACCCATTTTTCTGTCAATTTGTTTTTGTTTCGCATTATATGTGCGTTGCTTTTCTTTGTATCTAAGCCATCTAGTTTGCACACATCTTGGTACTTGTATTCTGTGGGGAAATATGGGTACCTCTTGGTTTTCATCCAGACTATACAGTGGCACATGAATTAAGTTGGTCAGCATCAAATTGACTGGCGGGTTAGATTATATGTGACATCTAAACATTATATTAATGTGTAAGTTTTGGAAATTTTAGGTACTAAAATGTGACAATATAAAAATTTAAGTATCAAAATATAAATTTCCAATAATATTTTTTTAAAAGATTTTAGGTACCAAATTGTAAAATATAAAAATATAGGTACTAAACTAAATTTGTCATCAATCCATGAACATGAAGCCACCAATCCAATTTTATTTAGATCAATGGATTAGATTAAAATAAATTATTATATTAGTTTGATATTTAAGTAGATGAATTAGATTGAAAAGATTGGTGAATAGGATACCAAATTATTACTTTCTCCACTTCATGTTTTCAATCATTAAGATTTTTACTAATCACACTTTCGAAATGCATCGAATCCCAGGTTAGATCCTGTGCTTAAAACTAAAAAATTAAGCATGTGCTTAACGCATTTTTATTGGCTTATAAAAATTGGGTTATAGGTCTCGTTTCCGAGATCCGGTTTGCTAGCTGATCTTCCGGCGAGTTCCGCGGCGGCGTTTCTTTTCTCAGTTCTTAAGTGAAAAAGGGTTTCCAGATCACCGAATTCATTGCAGATTCGGTTTTTTGTTCGTTCATATTTTTGTTTGTTTTGAGCTTGGTGTCTTGCGTCTGATTTTTACTCTTAGATTCTGAATTTCTGGCCTATGCATTGAAAATGTCATCGTAAACCATGGATTCAATTTGCTTTTTCTTGGTTTTGTCGAGTTTAATTGATCGTATACCTTGTTGTTTGAATTCAATTTGCTTTTTACCTGAGGTCCATTTACTGGAGATGCAACTTCATCAACCGGTTCAAGCATGAGCTGAAGCTGCAGAGGCTCGAGTCGTTGTTGCGCAGCAGAGAGTTACCCGGCGACTAGCTTTGTTCGGCCGATCCTGCATTCAATGCCCCTCCGTTAAGAATTAAAACTCCATTTATTGGAGGTATTCGTCCGTTTCGGACAATAAAAGCTTTATTATGAGCTTCTAAATCATCATTCATTTGATGTTATTAGGGGAATAATTCCCTATTCATGTGGGTCAGCTCAATTATTTTCTTTGTTGACCTTTTGATTGGAAGCTATCGGCATCTAATTTATTTGGTGGTATTAGGTGCTCTACAACGGCTCTAATGGGGATAGAGTTTTACTTGACAATGGCAGGTTTCGTTAATAGTAATTATAGGCCTTCAATGTGTGCTTTATTGGCATTTAATGGGTTTGACTAACCAATGGGACACACGCAAGTTTGATCTTTTACATATAAATAAATGGGCTTTTGAAGTGGGGTGGATATTTGGTCTTCCAAATTTGTTTAATTGAGATTATCTTAATTATTTGGAAAAAGACTTGGAATATCCAAGTCCCACCTAAGTTCAAATTTATCATATGGCAATGCCTCAAAGTCATACTTCCCACAGTAGTGGCCCTTCAATCTCGTGGAGTCAACTGTCTCAACCGATACCCTGTCTGCTGTAGACATCGAGAAAGCATTGAACATTTATTATTCAGATGCCCCCTAGCCACCAGATTGTGGACTTTAGTGGGATTGAGCAACTTTATTGAGACCGCCCAGACTGTTAACTTTAGTCTACGGTGGCGACATGTCATGGTCTCCGAGACTTCCCAATTCCAAATTCTCCAATGCGTCTGTTTACTTTGGAGAATCTGGAAGTCTATAATTAAAGTGAGCTTCGAATTTATCCAACCCCATGTCCGTTCCCTAGCCAGACGGTTCTACAACCAGGTCCTCGAATTCTCCAATCTTCTTCCTCCTCCTCCGCCCCGCAGCTCTCTAATCCCAGTTCATCCTGCCACCACTTGGGTCCCTCTACCAGAAGACTTTTGAAAATCAACGTAGACACAGCTGTTTGTGCCACCGGTTGTTCGTCTGGGCTTGTTATCCGTGGGTCAGACGGGTATGTGGTGTTGGCGCTCGGGCTGCAGCATCAAGGAATAGTCTATCCTTATCTGGCAGAGCTTCTAGCTTTTAGAGACGTCATCTCCACCGTAGCCTCAAGATCCTTGACCCACGTGATAGTCGAAGGTGATTCCGAAGTGGTGGTCTACCAAGTCCGACAATGCGTCTTTGAAGTCTCTTTTGGTGGTCTGGTGTTACGAGAGTGTCTTCAGATCCTTAACTCTTTGTCTGTTTGTATAGAGTTTAGGGCGGTACATAGATCCGCCATCAGTGCTGCCCATAGAGTTGCGCGTAAAGCACTGCTTTTGTCTCGTGTAGAGCTAGAATCTTTTGATTTTTTGGGGTGGCTTCTTTAGAATCTGTTAGGGGGTCCTGGGTAGAATTGTAAATTTAACTATTTTCTTCTATTGATATCACTCAGAAATAAAAATAAAAAATTTGGGTTATAGGTATAATATGCCCTCTACTATGACGTTTTATCAAACACGCCCTTATATTATTTTTTACATCAAACATGCTTCTGTACTTTGTAAAAATTATCAAACATGCCCTTTTGTTTAAATTTTCATCCAAAAACCGTTAACCAAAGTCGAACTTTGGTTTGGGCGGCACAAATGTCTAAAATATCCCCAATAATTTTACTTTAAATTTTTTTTTGTTCTTTTGTATAGCCAAATAATTCAAATAATTTCACTTTGAAGAGACGCAGAGAAATAAAACGGGAGACAAAACTGACATTTTCACTCCCACTTGCCAATGTAGGGTTGTCTAAATCTCGATTCAACCATGATTGATGATTTTATCAATAAAAATCTCAACAGAAGGGCATGTTTGATAATTTTTTCAAAGTACAGCGGCATGTATGATGTAAAAATAGTATAGGGGCATGTTTGATAAAACGTCATAGTAGAGAGGCATATTATACCTATAACCCAGAAAAATTTAGTTAGTTTATGTTAGGTTACTAGTTAGTAAGTTATTAAGGATAAATGGGGTATTATGAGAAAATAATTAATATCATATATAATTAAAATAATTTTTCCCTCTCATAGACTAACATTAAATTAAAATTCTGAATTATTTAATTAAATATTATTATCTAATATTTAATAAAAGTATGAATTGAAATTAATATCTAATATTTTAAAAATGGTAATTCAAAATAAAAATTGGCCACACTACAACTCTCCGTGAAAACTAGAGATTACATTATTAACGTTTTACAATGACATTATTAATATTTAATAATTAATAATATACTTCATCGTTATTAATAATTTCGAAAACCTTATCAATTTTTTAGGATTATATCATTAACCAGGGACGGGATACAGTGACAACCCCTAAGGGCTTGTCAGATTAACAACCAAGGGTATTTTATGTATGAAAAAAAGGAATATATTAATTACCTTTTTGTATTAATTATATTGGGAATTTTTTTTTTTGATTGATTGGAGGCAAACGCCAAACAAACACAGCAGTGGTTAACCCACTAAACAAACACAGCTAAAGCTAACACATTGGCACAAAACATATCCAGAAAACACAAACAGAGAACAAATCGAGATATGCACCAAAGAAAAGCCCACCATCAGTTCTCATCTGCTGGTGTCTGCCTCACCAAACGGGGATGACTAACCCCTATGATATCATCCTGACAAATCCTCTTCAGATCGGTAGGGGGTTCATCTAATTCATAAGTACCGAATGGATAGACGAGACTGTGCTTCGAGAGCCAGTCCGCGGCTCTATTCCCTTCGCGATACGTATGAACCAAACGAACCACCCATTCTTGAGCTAGAAGCCGACGAATATTACCTAGAATTGTGGCATACGGGTGAACACTGTCAGTCCTCTTCTCAATTAGATTAAGAGCTAGCTGAGAATCAGATTCTAAGATAAGAAATCGGATCCCTTTACGCCAAGCCAACTCCAGTCCACTGTAGATCCCCCACAGTTCCGCCATTAAAGCTGTGCCGGTTCCCAACTTACTGCAGAAACCTCCCAACCATTCCCCCTGACTGTTCCGCAAAACCCCTCCTGTTGTCGCCATTCCCGGGTTGCATTGGGCTGCCCATCAGTATTCATCTTGGTCCATCCAGCAGGAGGCTTCATTCAACCAACAAGAACTTCTTCACGAGGAGGTTTTTCTTTAAGGTCAAACCTCCGCTTAGCCGAATCCCAAGCTTTGACCCATTCCGCGGCTTTGGCTGTTATGTACTTGTGGAGAGTAGAAGTTGTCAGTTTGATTCCCTTAAAGATGCCATCATTTCTACATCGCCAAATGTACCAGAGGACCAGGCTGAAGTAGCTTCCCCATTGACCTGGCCAGTTTCCTGTTGCATCGTTCTTAAGATTGTCGTTGAGCCATGTATCGTAACTGCAACTGAAGAAGGATGCGGCCTGCTGATTGTCAATGATTTTGGACCAGACTGCACTCGCCTTCAAGCAGTCTCGCAGGCAGTGAACATTTGTTTCCGACACGCCACTGCAATCCGGACATGAGTCATTATCGGTCAGGTGTCTGTGTTTTCTTACGCTGTTCGTGGATAATTTCCCCTTCACTGCCATCCAAATGAAGACTCTAACCCTCTCCGGCACCTGCAACTTCCAAATGCTTTTCCAAATTGCATCTGGTTGGTAATTTGAAGTGCCCTGTGCAACTTTATAT